AAATAGAACCTCATTCATATCGCGTACTGCTAAGATAACGAGCTTCCGATTCTAGAACCATTTCTAAAACACATGTTTGCTGCTGTTAAATATTAACTCAAAACTATGTTTATAATTCAATGATCGCTAGTGACTATTGCGGGAGGTATGCGAGGGTTGCCGTGCTCACACTTTACGGTCGCTATCTAAGAAGATCATGGATATAAGAAAGATCCGTTGTCGAATTACATTCCACCATTACAATGGATCATACGCTTGTAACATTTCAAAACAGACTCGATATAATCACTTTCGACTGATGAACGTTCGCTACAGTGATTACTTGGCCCCCCTGCCGTAAGCTAGTCAGTGACTGACCGACCCTTACATTACCCTCATACGCTGGCGAACGAATTAAAGTTCAGTTCGACGATCTCGGCAAACAAGAGGCTTTAAAAACATTCCAGGAATTCATATTTCATGAAATTTACGATTTTCCCCACAAAAAAAAAAAAAAAAAATCAACAGCAACCATAAATATTCTCATCACATTCCAACTTCTATTATATAAATGCATATATCGTAGTATTGCACAGCTGTATATTGTATTATAATAATATAGGCATATAGCTCGTCTATATAGGCCTACAATATAAATCAAATAATCATTTGAATTAGATACAGGCTTATATTTCGATGTATGTTATACTTAAGCTTATATGACGGTGAGTCGAATGGCCGAGCGGTTAGCAGGGGCGCCGCAAGCTATAGACTATAAACCGTAGGCCCAGTGTATACAATGGCTCGTGTGCACTATAAAGAACACAGTACATCCTTCGAGACGAGTAGGGGGATACCCCGGTGTACTGGAACTGACAGCCCCTGTGGTGGACGACGAGATTTGCTGGTACCGGGTAGCACAGACACGAAGGGACCCTTAGGGGCGAAGAAAGTCATTGGTCGAGTTCCTAGTCCACATTTCAAGCGCCCTGAGCATCTTACATTAGATGGATTTGTGCGCTATATAAAACTACACTATTATTATTATTATTATATTATTTAAAGCTGCACCGTATATAATTAAGTACATCCATGACAGTGTTTATATACGGCTAATTGTTATAATATAAACAATATATAAATTAGGCCTTTATAAAGGTTCTGTTTCAATAAGCCTATGTTTCATTAAAAAGTTGTAAAAAAAAACTATTTAAAAAAATATGTTTTACTACCATTTAACGAGAGTGAAGCTATGGTCTATTATTATATAATATCTTTTCAATTGTTGAATTGACATTTTACAGAATAATTGAACCCATGTCATCGTGATTAGGAGAACACTAACAACCAAACCACAGATACGCATGACTGCTGCATTCTAGTGATGGTCGGGATGTTATTTGGGATACGGGTGTGGCAACACGGAGCGTCTCCATTGCGTAACCATGGAGTTATTTCATAAGATGACATTATTTTAGGGTTGGGCTTGGCCATAAACAGTTTTGTAGAACACAGTAGAATAGCTTATTGAGTAATTAAAATTTGTTAATTTATTGCATATAGTTATTGTCTTCTCCTAGGGAGTTGCCAAGCAACATCTCTGAAAACTGTATATTACTAGTGATTCAGTAGCATTTGTGATATTATCTTTTTAGTAAACAGTAAACTGAAAACCTCAAAAGAGACAATACCCTAATCTGTACATACAACACGATAGACGCACGCCCGTAAATAGTTATTTCTAGAATAACAATTCTACAACGCAACAGCGCCTCCACACGAAAGACATTGACATAATAATCGATTCAAAGCGATACAAATTCACCCAATTTAAAATGATTGAGTCACATTGTCAGGGCTAAATTTAACGGAATTTAACAACTATAGATATATAGATGTACTCTGGTTTATTAAGTAAATAAACTTATGACAGATAATAAATAATTTACTGATGATGATAAATTAATAATCAAAAGATTTTTATGGCGCTCATATCAATAAAATAGATCTCAAGGCATCTATATGATGATAAAGGAGGATATCAATATGTTAGGTCTAGCTGAAATAAATATAAATTTAATAAACTGTAAAACAATTACAGAAAGTATGGAAATCCGACATATAAAAAGATCTAAACAATAAAATAAAAAATAGGCCCTTTCCTACCATAATTTCATGTTTATGAGCATCAGAAAACTCCTGAATCAGGAACAGAAACCATCATTGATGTCCATTTGGTATTCATATTAGTGGCTTACTGATATAAAGGATAGGCCTAGCCTAATGCGAAAGCGAAGGAACACCTTAATTTTAGCGTGGGCATTACACTGAAAAAGCATACGTGATCTACAATATGATGCCTTCAATTAATAGCCCTACAAGATAGATTTTTTGGTTCTATAATGGTTTACGGTAAAATAATTGGACTGATTATTTAAATAAAATACAGAAATTAGTAAGGTCTGTATAGTTAGAGTAGTTTATTAAGATTTCTCAAGGAGCTTCTTCCCTCACCATACCGTTTTATTTTTCTAATTTATATGCTATTTTGTCTACTGTATTATTGAGTCAATAAGTAAATACTTAAATGAATATTTGAAGTTTGAATTTAAACTTGATGTTGGACATTTTAGTAAAACAAAACAAGTGTAGCCTTAGCACGGACTTAACGAAGTGGCCTCAAGTTTATGTACATAAGACTAAGATAGGTTATAATTCAAGTCAAGTTTTTTTTAATTACTAAAAAGATGTTTGTTTCTTGTGAACAAAGACCGGCTTGGGATAAGCCTGTAGATATGCACATAGCCGTCAGGTAGGCTTTGAACTTAGGCCATAAACAAAGTCATTCTAATGCCATCCCTGATTGACGTTTTACACCTGCGAAACTAGGAAACGCAGACTTAACTTTTAGGCTGGAAAACCGGAATAAGTTGGGCGGAAAATTTCTTTTGCAAATGGCAGAGTTTCTGCTCGAGCGCCCGCTTAGTTCTAGATAACTCATACGAAATGTCCATGGACACGTTCTATTATTTTAGAAACAGCATTATTTATTCATCTAAACTTACTTGTTTGGTTTAGTTCGAAGGTCAGTCGTTTGGAAAAAAGGGTAAACTTGGTAGGCGCTGAGAGATATATCAGCACATCTTGTACACAGTATATACCAACTTTAGAGTATGCCATAGATATGCTCAAAGTTCAAATCCAGATCTCAAATACATGGAGGTACAGACACGAATTAATGGTTAAATGTTTAAAAAAGCTAGACTAGAAATAGCCTGCTTAGAATGAAAAGCACAAGTACAAAAACAAATAAGAGCTTTGAGTCTATGTTATACTGCAGGAGGAACGAGCTCTTTTACTCCTTTCCTTGCTGAAAAACCTCGAAACGAAAAGTATGGTAATAAACAAGACATACATCAATGTAACAACACAAAGTGTGTATGATAAGTCGTTTGTATGTCAGAAACTAGACATTTTTTTATGTTCCTGATTCAGTGTTGATGTTTGTTTTGACTTTTAAAATGTTTCTACATTTCATCGATTAAAAAAAAAAAGAATTAGAGAAACAAATCATTCGTCTAGTCATGTACAGGCATACGACAATTTTTTTTTAACTTTCATTGTCAATGTAGTCCTAAAATGTACATGGAATATATTTTCCAAGGTACACATATAATACAGGCGACACTTAGGTCAAGGCCCAGCACAGTCATCTGATATTATTATGAGAACATAAAAATCTATACTACAGCACGGTTATAAATGTTTGTTAAACATAAAAACAATAGTTGCATGTAAGTTAAAAAATATATGTAGGCCTATGCCTACTTGTGATATGGGGCACAATAGTTATAATAGTTGTTTCAGTTTAGTTAAAAACAGAATGGAATACATTAACAGCGTATAATAATAATGTATAACAATGTAAAAGCATGTTCTGCGTAACAGTATAACTCAATATTTCGGTTGAATCGCAGAAATCAGTAATACATTATTGTAGACATGTTTGGACTACGAGTCCGTTGCCGTGAGCGGCCATTAACTCCATATACGTGTCGTTACTTTCTCTACATTCCTCGAAGATCATTCAACATTGTCGCTAATTGCCGGAATACATACATACAAACCGTTAAAAAATTGCAACATGAGTTTACAGTGTAATAGTATACATAACATATCGAAGGAAATTGAAGCACTTGGCACTGAACGATTACACGCGAAACGACAGTCGACCGACTACAAAACATTCGTTGACTTTGCTACTATTAATTTTAAAAATTTTACCATAATAACTTCATAATAAATATGCCTTACTATAGTACCAGCCCAGGTTTGTATAAAACAAATGAAGTGAGTATAAACAGTAACAGTCAAAATACCGCAATGATAATGATTACAGTATTATCATTATATTATACATATTTATATTATATATTATTATTATTATATAACAGAGTGGATTTTAATATTGTATGTTAACATTAAGTAGTAGGCCTATATATGTAAATATTTGTATTAAACGGTCACGTGTTATCCTATTCATTGGCATATGCAGTTATTTTGCGATAGGTTTAAGTCTAAAATAGATTTCTAATATTACCTATCAATGTTTTCTGTATGATTATTTATGGTATGATTCATAGAGGCTCATGAACAAGGATTGTGTTTATATAACGTCAGTGGCAGTAACGTTGCGAAACTAAGTTGTTTGTCATTCCAGGTTTGTCATTCAAGGTGAAATTAACCTGTGTGATTCATAAATTAACATACAGTGCCTAACTTAAGATTTAATATAGGTAGGCCTAAAATAACTAGTATGTATGCATCAATGTATGGACCTCCAGTCCAGTTGAGTAGTCTGTACGATAAACTAGTGTTTGTAGGACCTTAGCAACCGTATCCAATGTGGGCGGAGCTTTAAAGTTTCTTCAGACGATAAACAGTGCGTGCGGTGCTTACAGGTGGGAGGGCCTAATAATGGACGAGTCCGGGTAGTGTTTTACTGGTAATAAGCGAACGGTTTTCAGCGAGAGGTTTCATTCACGATCAGTCAAGCAAGTCGTGAGTGTGTGTGTTTTAGTTGTTCCCTTCTACCTCTACTATATCACGAATGAACGATTTTCACATTCGATTTTATCTCAACGTCAAATAAAAATCGAATATACATTTGGAAATATTTGTACAGAAGGAGTGTTACTGTAGCAAGTTAAACGTTTTGTTTCGTGGAAACCAATATTTTCAATTTTGTATTTTCGATCGTTTCGGAACGGACGTCAAAAAGGCTTTATTTACCTCAGACATGCAACTGAAATTGGTAAGAAAATATAATTTATCAAAATTAACAAAATTATTTAACTAATTTAATTCTTTTTGGCTTTAGTTTCTAACATATTGAATCATTGTTAAGTACACAAGTAGATAGATAGGCCTACAAAATTGTAATTTTCACGGTGAATTATTATACCGTAATAAAGTATAATATAGGCCTATTATAATATAGCTATACTATTGTGTAGAATGCTACATCTGCCGTATAGATATGCGTTATATGTGTTCTTTGTATTGCTATATAGCCTAACCTTTCCATCAGTCATATTTTTATTTCATATATATATATGCATACATTATATTCCACCATTCTTAAGGTACATCGTAATAATGCATATGTAATTAATACGCCTACGGTATAGAATATTGTTTATGAGATGCGAAATTAAGGCAAGATATACATGCCAAATATAGAGCTTTGAAGTACAGTACTTGGGTAAAGGCAAAAAAAAAATAAAAACAAAACATGAAAATGTAATTCGTGTCTTTTTCGGAGGAGGAATTTGATCCCAACTTCACTTCACAAAGATGACCACGAGCAATCATATATCGCAGGCCTACGGCAGGCATATTTACTGTAGGCATAGACATCCATTAGACAGGATGTTTTTATTGCTGTAGGATTATCAAAGTGTTTTGAATTTGAAAGAAGGAGAGAGAACAAGAGACCTTTTTTATTGTTTTAATTTGGCATATAGTGTTTTTTTTTTATTTGGCATCATAAGATCATCAATCCGTTTTCCTAAAATACTCTGTATCATATCGCCCACGACTCCAGCAATATTATGGTGTAAACCCAATAATCAAAGACACGAGTCTGAAAATGTTCACGAGGAATCTGATTGAATTATTGAAATTGAAAATGATGATGCGTTCGGTCATGGATTCGTCTGTTCATCAGTTATAAGAATAGGCCTACTAATGATTGATTAGTTAAACGAAACTACGAATTCTTTATACCAGATATTTATAAATCGGGCCTATGCTTTATTTATGATCACTGATTGTGTAATATTAATATTTTAAAAGCAGGTCCCCTTTCAAAATTAATTCACAGGCCTATAATTAACTAGCACGTTTAAAAAACATTGGTTTATATATATATATATATATATATATACATATATATATGCCTATATACATATATATCTGTCTCTTATACACATCTAGATGTGTATAAGAGACAGTCCTCATTCTCTTTCAAATTAAGTAAATGCACCGGCACTTGAGATAATTTTGTGTCATTGTCTAAATATGGCGATGTAAGCTTCGTGCACTATTGTGGTAACGCTCGATAGATGACCTTCCGACGTTTTTAATTTAATTGTAGTTTGTCCGGTCATGCCGGCTTACACTTGTAACTGACTTCAATAACCAGTCTCCCACCAACTTCATAATTAAATCTAATGGCATTTTATATCTTTTAAAAACCGTCCTAACTACAAGCCCACGAACCTATGACGTCATATTTATTTATAGCCACGGCCCGTATTTTAGGCTGAATATTATAGTTTTATGAGTGTTACTGTAATTAATGAGCCCTGTTGCAATGTAGACAGAATTCTTTGCAAACTTGACGTTTGTCGTATGCTCATTACACAGTTTGTTCTCAGACGAAGAGACGAGACATTTTTTTTTCTTTTATAAAGAATACATTGAAAATACCGTCCGTTACAGTAGTCGCTAGTACTGTAATCCATGGGGCGGGGTGTCAAGGGTCAGCCGTTATTTTGCAGTTGTAATATCTCTAAGAACGACTTAAGTATTCGTGTTGCCTTTGTGAACCTAGATAGCTTTGTATATTAAAAAACATAGTGTGCAATATAGGTCTAGAATTAGAGTGAATGCAGCGCGTTTCGAGCGCATACGACAGCCCTTCAAAAACTGTCACGATTAAGAAAGAAAAAAAGGGCAAAATCGTAATGTCTCTCATTACTAGAAGCCGGTAATGATGATTATTTTCCGCATTTTGAACCAAAAATGTAAAACTAAAAAGACAGCCGAAACGTATATCATTAGGATGTGTATGCACGTCACGGTGTAGGCCTAATGGTTGCTGAAATTTCTGAATGCCTGTTGATATTATGCAAGCATGCAGCGACTAAATCCCAATTCGTACGATATCGTTTGTGTACCACCGAGATAAATTACACGTGCACGCGTCTCTCTCTGTATTTGCTAGATTCTTTCCCTGAACTGGCTTCTTTTAACCATAATGTTATGCGAACCATACGCTGCACTAATTTTCATAATTGCTTGAGTATCTCACTTGAGAATTTATACAGGTTGATATTGTGTATTAGAGATGTTCCTGATGGTATGTATTAATATGTTTAAGCCTGTCTTATGCTTGTTAAAAAATAAACATCCTCATCGTTTCAACCTTTATTGGTTTGTCATGCAGCGCGTAGGAGATTTGTATACATACGCGCTCGCTTATTGGACAATATTGTAATAGGACTGTACTGTACATTAAACGCACACTTTTGTAACATATTTGCACTTGTGACATTTCCAGTAAATAATTTCGTATATGTAAAACGTGCATATGTTTGGGCACTTTTCTAATAATTCTTTGAACATCGAGGACAATAGTGTCGTTCAACGGATGTATTATTCACGCACTTGTTGAATAAGTTTCCAATATGTTTATACGGAAATTATCTAGTTTATCGCAAAGGGCCGATAATGCAGTGTGCACGCTCGCTACCGTTTGGTAGACTCGGCGTTTAACTACATCGGGTTTATATGCTCAAATGGTTGGGTATATTTGAAAATTAAGTCTGCCATTAGGAATACGACTTGATTGAAGAGTGTCAACAGTGGCTATTGTTCTCTGATCCAATGTTTTGGTTGAAGTTAACTTGAGTGTAAGACACTTGCCTGGGGGTGCGCATGGTCCTATGGTAGTAGGTTGGCCTGGCTTGTCGGTTTACGATACAGCTGGTGATTAAACGCTCGTTATTACTTGCTGCCACCCGAGGGCACCCGATGGCAAACCAATGCCTTATTAAGCGGCCAATCCATACGAATACGATGAAGTTCCTACACGATGATCTACTGAAGAACAATGGAAAGCAACTCTTTTCCCATGTTTTCCTTGGATGATAATTACTACGTTACTGATCGATTTCCTTGTGTCTCGTAATCTAATAATGGCCCAACAGTCAAATCGGCTTAACAAACCCCTAAAGTTCTCGTTTTTATTGTCGTTCGGTTCGTAGGCCTTGGCAATTTATGAACTACGGCCATTAACGTTCGGGGACAATCCCCATACTAATACTGTATACCTTCCGATTCCAACGCTGGTAGAAGCAGCACGACCTTGGACAATAAATGGGTAACTAATCTTGGGGGAAATGGCAGAAACATGGGAAGAACAGCTCTGTTAATATCCTAGGTCAAAAAAAGAGTTAGGCTAGGCTAGGCCAATCGCTGTTACCTATAGTATACTACGACCATTAATGAATTCTCTGTTATGTACTGAGTGTCATCAATCATGCTCGATAATAATATTAAGTTATATAAGCGCTTGGCCTTGCATACTGCAAGCCTTCAACCATGGCTCTCGTATGAATATGCAGGGTTTAGATATTTTAGAGGCCTATATAATATTGTAGCACGTATGTTTTAATATTGCGTATTTATTATACATATTAATAGATGAATGCTGTTACCCTAGTCAATATTCAAGCAATAAAAGCCTCTATCATGCATTCATCCATGATCGTACCGCCACAAATGCATGTTCCAGACCTACTTTTAAAATATTTCCTTTCGTGATTGAAATTCCCATGTATCGCAAATAATAGAAACGGATCTACATAATTTGGCATTTATTCATTAGTTCGTCTTATCTCCTGGGTGCTGCGTTTTCTGACGTGTTGAATCGAATACAGCGCTGATTAGCCTTTTGGAGAATTTCTATGCGAAAACCAACGCAATTTTCTATGATATATTGTGCGAAAATATTTCCATTAAGGAATTTATGTTATATCGATATCTGTTGGGAAATAATATGGACAACTAGATAGTATAGACAGCCATCAGTATCGCTAATGTCGGAAATAGTTTACCTGCACAACGACAGCTCATCACTGTTATTTTAAAGGGGTTGTGATAAAACGAAATAGTCTACTAGAATCATTTATTTTGTATATACTGTACGTTGGTCTAGGTCTAAAGCTCTAAAGTCAATGAGTGCAAATCTTGGGTAAAATGGTAGGCCTGTCGTGTATATATTGGTGTAGGCTTAGTCTTCCCTAAATTATTTTAGCCGCATTCGTGATCAGTAAGTATTTTTAACACTAGTTTTCCATTGTCATAATACAAAATCAATAAGTTGTGTTTGTGTTGTTTGATCGAGTAATCTGGTGCCTCCCCGAACCGACTCGTGCGTGCGCTGCATCCGCCAAAATGTACCCATCAGTTATAACACATGCTCGGCATATAGATCGTGATAAAACGTAGGCCATGTAGTATATAATCCAGTGAGTGGTTGCGATGAATTCACGTAGCTATCAGGAAGACTTATGAGGTAGGAATGTTTAATCACCATATTAACCTGTTTTTGTAAATTATATTAACACTAAGCTCGTTAGTTCTCGTCAATCTATATTCAATCATAAAGCGAAGGGACAAGTTAGAGGCAGGATTGGAGGGCTTGTACTAGATGCTTTGTTGTTCTGTGTTCTCTTTAAAAATATTCCCACAGTTTATGATTTTATTCAGGTGTGGCGGTTTTCTATTGTATAAACTATTGCCATAGCCGGCGATTCGATGTACTGTATATCTTGCAGAACTTTTACACGGGCAATCGTTAAAATTTGTATGCATATTATGCATGATGATTCCGATTTGTATTTCAACCACGTAACGACAACTACTTCTGACGGATTCTTCCATAAGCTAAGAATGATAGCCAGGGCAAATATTTAGCTCCTTTAACGATGCTCGCGTACGAGCCAGTATACTGTATTTAGATAT